AGCGCTGTGATTGGCTGCCGCTCGGCTGCTCTGCGCACCTCTGACACGAGGGCCGCTAGCCGAACCGAGCCGAGCGCGGGGCCGAACGGAGCCGACGCCGCCCGAGCGCCGAGCGTCGCCATTCGTCCTGGCCCCAGCCTACCGCCGCCGTCGCTAGGGGCGCCAGCGTCGACCGCGAGCGAGTGCGCAGCGCCCGTGCGCACCACAACAACCCAGGCCAGAGGCCGCGCAGACGGGGCTGGCAGCCGGGGAGGCAGCCAGCCTAGCAGCCCAAATAAATCGAAGCAGGCAGGCAGCTCAGTACGCGAGCGAGCGCTGCGCAGAGCACTCGGTGCTGGTCGCGCTGGACGGAACGGGACGGACTGTGAGAGTGCGTATGAGTGAGGCTGCGGAGAGTGCGCCAGCAAGGACAAGGAGGCCAGCTCCGAGGACACAGGACCACGCCGAGGTGCGGACGCCCCGGGCGCTCGGGGCCTGCGCGCAGCCGGCGCTGCCCTGCATGGTCAGAAGGTGCGTGGTCGTGTGTCCGCAACCCCCCGATCCTTTGTTCGCCTTTGTTTTGACAAGCCATCTTGTGTTTACCTCCGACGCCCCCGAGCCTCGCCGAGCCCTCCTTTGTGTGCGGCCGGGGGGTCCTGGCACGCGTGTCGCACGCCCCTCGCGCGCACGCCCGTGCAAGACGCTCAGGTACCCGAAGGGCCCTGTTAACCTGGGTACGCGGATCAAGTATTGATTTTGCCTTTGACCGTGAGTTAAATCGCCGTTGGTGGGTTTTTCTTCGCCGAGCAGACGACGTACAGCTGGTTGCGTGCTGGCCAGGCGTGCGCTCGTCCCGCACGCGTGCGTGCGTGCTCGCGTGCGCGAGCGTGCCGTGGCGAGGCGAGCTCGTCCTTTGTTTTGGTGGTCAGCTGTAGCGCAGCGCTGCGCCGCCCCCTCCTCACCCCCCGCTGCGCTTGGGCTGCGCTCGGGCTGCGCTCGGGCTGCACTGCTGCACCGCACACGCGAGCAGACGACGCAAAGCACGGCCGAGAAAAAAGGATCCGACTCAAAGTCACGGACGGGACGGCGCACGGCGCCCGGCCAGGATGGCGCTGAAAAAGAAAGAAATGGCTTGTTGTTCTACTGGCTGGAGCGTTTCACCACCTTTGTTCAGCCACCACCCGACTGACCCACTTCGTGCGGGCAGGGGCGACGGGGAGACCGCGGGCGCGCGGGGGGCTTTGGCGCACCGCGCCCGCGCCCTCGTTGGCGCTCCGCGCGGGTACATCTCTATATCTGAACGCGGGGGAGGGCTTTAGACACCCGCGATACCGCTGGAATGGGGAGTGCAGGCTCGGGCGCGCTTAGCAACACGAGGCTGCCCCGGGAAACAGCGCGGTCGCGCAGGACGCACGGAAGCTCAGGAGAGGAGGTCTACCGACAGTCAGGACGTGTACAGTCAGTGCCACGAGCACGAGAGCCCCAGCTGTCCCCTCAGGTGTGTCCAAGACGACTGCCGGGACCAGCAGCGCTGATTGTTGCACCAAAAACAACAAAGAACATGATGCACACTGAGAGGACGCGCCCGTTGAAGGCAGATACGCCGTCGCCTCTGCGGCAGCCGGCGGTGGTGACCGCGGACCCATGACCGCTCCCGATCCCGCCAGGCAACGGAACCCTGCCTGCACGGCGGCGGCCCGCGGCCCGGCCCCGCGCGGCGCAAGAGGAGGAGGAGGAGGAGGGCCATTATGCGGACTCGAACTCACGTTCACGGAACCAGTCGAGATAAACTTGGTGAAAGCTGAGGACGCCGGGCCGCGCGCTCTGTGTGCCCCGGAGTACCAGTACTGTACCTCCGCCGCCAGGGGCCCCGCGTGTCGACCCGGGAGCACACTGTCGAGCGCGGCAGCTCCACGAGGAGGGTGATCGGTGAGGAAGGAGGACCTCCCCTAAGCGCCTTCTACAACCAGGCCAGGGGGAGGGGGGAGGAGGGTCGTTTGAAGAACATATTGCCGGAGAGCTCTCCGATCGCCCTCCAGCACGCCAAGTAGAAGCCAAAGGAGGGGAAGGAAGGGTCTGTCCAAGGGCTTCTGCCTCCGGCCCGGCCGGGTCCGGTCGTCGGGAAGGAAGCCCCCCTCGCGGGTGGTGGTTGGTGGAGGGCGTTGGTGACGGTGGCCTCGGTGGCCTCGCACTGCAGCGGCTCGAGTGCATTCCGCTGGCCAGGAGGCGGAGGAGGAAGCGCGCTGTCTAATATTAGCGGCCAACTGCTGCTGCAAATTAGTGCGACGACGTCGCCTCCGCGACGCACACACGCTCGCGGCGGCCGGCCGGCTGGCCCGCGTTGTGAGAAATTGTCGGCGCGCGTCGCGCGTGTGCGTGTGCCGCTTTGTGTGATGTGTGGCCCCCGCGAGGGGTCACTGCACCCGAGGGGGGCCGGGCCGGGCCGGGCCGGGCCGCGGAGGGGGAGCAGGGCGGGGCATCCTGTCGGACACCTGCACCTCGTGTGCACGCCAGAGTGCACGCCCAGTGCGTCGTGGAGGGTGTGAGTGTGAGTGAGGAGGGTTGCTTCGGGGAGCGTTGCCCTGCCTCCCCGCCGAAGCCGGCTAAAGCGTGCGCCGGGACCCCTCCCTCCCGCAGCCGCCCCGTGGGCCGCGCCTCCGCCGCCGCCGCTCGCAAGCACGACGGGCAGGGGCAGGAGGGCAGTGCTCCTTCCTGCATCTGCACCGGGCGCGGCGCCCCTGCCCGCAAGTGCAGCGCGATGCAGTGCACACCGAAACTGCACCGGAGCGCTTCCTGCTGTACTCGCGCTCGCGGGCTTTGGCAGCAATCAACGGCTCGAAATAAACGCGCCACGCTGCGCCACGCCCCCTGTTGACGTGTGTTTCGGTCCAACGCTCTGACTGCAAAACGCACACCAGGAACGGAACGCGAGGGTCACACAGGCGCGCACTGCTGGCGCGGACTCCCTGCCTGCTGCCCCTGGGTGCACTACGGTGTGTGCACCACGGGGGGTGTGCACCCCGGGGGTGTGCACCATGGCGTGTACACAATGCCGTGCACCACAGGGGCGTGCACCATGGCGTGTCCACACCACGGTGTGCACACAGACAGGTACTCTGGTGCACAGGGCACAGCTCGGCCCTCCCTCGGCTCTAACGCAGTCCCTTTGGTGTATTGTCCCGCTTTGCTCCCCGTGCGCGCGCCAGGGCGCCCCCTCCGTGTAAGTACGTGGCGTGCTCGCCGGCGGCGCGCCCCGCGCCGTGGCCATGCATTACTTACTCCGGCCAGAGGACGTTGACGCGGCGGGGCGACGACTCTGCGCCCTGGTTATCTTTTCATAAGTTCGTCTGCCCCCTTCCCTGCTGCTCTGCATGGCGGGGTGGTGGCGCGGGCGAGCCGATCATGTACATATGTACACCCCCTTGCCTCCCCCGTGACGTGCTGCTGCTGCTGCTGCTGCTGGGCGGGGCGGGGCGGGGCGGCCCGTCAGGAGTACAGACACGGCCCGGGCATTCGGAGGCCACATGACTTGCAGCGCCAGGGCGCGCAGCGCAACACATCACCGTGTTACCCTACCCCGCCCCGCGTTTAAACTCCGTCGTTTTAATTCGAGCAAGTTTGCCACCGCTTTCATCAGATTATACCTTTTAAATACATTTGACACTACAACGAACACAACGATAAATAATATAATGTGTCATGAGCTTGTGCTCACGCTCGTGGTGTCATGGGTGTATACCTTATCTTGTACATGCTTTAGACATTTTGAAGTACATTCCACTTCGTTGGTAGGCTATTACACTTTATATAAATACACTTTAGTTACTTTTATTATAGCAAGTACAATGAGCTTGATCTTGAAACTATGTACTACAACCATTTACCGGGGCATATTACTGTTGGGACGCTTTGACCATGGCCCCGTACGGACAGAGGAAAGTAGGCAAACCCGGCGCATGCAAAGAAACATCCAGTCGCATCCAGTACTACTACTTGCAAATCTGCTAAATCGAGTCCAAAGTTTTCTAGGTGCGTGCGGTTAGTACAGTTGCCGGGCCTTACAGGTTGGGAACGGAAATGTACACACGGGCATGACTCACTTCGCGGAGCTCTGCAAGGAGGTAGTTGCCTCTCCCAGCTGCTCCCCGGGCGCCCTGGCGCGCCTTGGGCGCGGCGCTGCTGAACTTGAGGGAGAACCAGTCGGACACAAGGTTTAATTAAGGCACAAGACGCGGTCGTGCAGCTGACGGGGGCGCCGCTGCCGGCTCCAGCGGGGCCCG